AGGCAAATGACAGAATACGAGAAGATAATGCTGAGGATGCTGTCAACGCGCCTTACTGACTCCTGTCAAAATATTTTACCTAGTAGCTTTATAACCCATCATTTTCGAGCTCCAGCTCAGCATTTTGACACCATTTTGACAGGCACCTTACAATACCTAAAAGATGGCTTGATCAATGTTAAAAATGTTCGGTAGGAGAAGTAGCCAAAACGGTACTTTCCTGAGCGGCGACTAGCGCGAGATGAACAGCCGGGTGGTTCATTACCGGCCCACGTGCAGGGTTTTTTTCGGTATCGCTTTTGTGTAACAACTTGTAAGCCATTGACAACTTCTACCGTGCACTCTAAACCCCATATATAATATCATAAGCTGTTGTTTGTCTTACTCTCCACTGTGTCTTCTGCCTTCGCCCCCCCCAAAAAGGCAAGATTTGATTATCTCCGCTGCATCAGCCAAGACAGCAACACCAGCTGTTCTCATTGTGCAGCCTCTTCCTCACGGCCTACATGTTAATAACCTGATCATTCCATTTTCTCCTTCAACTGCCGGCTGCAGCACAGCGAAGAGACAAAAACCCAGGCCCATCTGCAGCAGCTGTAGGCACTGAACTGTGAAGCCACCAGGGATTTATAAACTAATCTGTAACACAACACTGCCTTGTTTTTACAAGTGAGAGGCCACATTTGTGCAGACCTGATCTTTTCTTGCAATAAACTAGGAAGGGGGGTGGGGGGGTAAGGATGAAAACAAGATATCTAATCATTTACTTAAGGAAAAAAAATAATCTGTATTATATTTTCACCTATTTTGACTGCTATTTGGGTGATCTCTCAGCCAGGTGATGTCTGCATTTTATTGTGGTTTGGCCACATCCCTTGCCCTTAGTTCTCTTTCCTTTTCCTCTGCCCAGAAATCCCCCCAAACTTTCCCTCTATTAGAGAAAATACAGCAAGAAAATCTCCCAGCTCCATGGCATCCTCTCAGGGGTTCCTCCATACAAAGGAAACAATTTCTGAAATGGAAAATAAACCATCTGTGGGAAAAAAACAAGCTCCTGTTTCTCCCCGTTTTCAGTGATCCGAGTAAGTCTCCAGCTCTTTCAAAATGTTCCGAGCAGGTATGTTTAACACCCCCCGAGGGATGCTGCGCTACCAAGACCCATCCTTTAAGAGAAAATACACACCAACCCCTGCCCCCGGTGGAGCCAGAGCCCAGCCTGGGGCAGCCCAAGAGTCCTGAGGGTCTCCCCAGGGCCGGGGGTGCCGGCGATGCTCAGCTCAGCAGGGCCACCTCCCCTGGCCCGAGCCGGCCCCGCTAGCCCGATGGCGACTGCTGCCCGGTGATTTATCTGTCCCGTTATAATCAGCGCTCATTACAATCACTTAGAGCAACACTACAGGCCTCATTACGGACTAGGCACTCGCTGCCATTAGTCTTTAAGAAGGATAGCGCTCAATTTGCCTGGCAACATGCGAGGTCCTGACCTTGGAGCTATTAGGGAAAAGATTAGACCGCAGTGTGACCATGTGTGCAGACACGAGCAAACCAAATTAATTTCTGGCGAAGAGAGGCACCAGGCAAAGACCCCGCCATCCTGAGGACACCTGAGAACTTCTCCATTCCCCGAGGGAGATAAGCTAATGGCACGTTTAAAGGAGCCTGGTTCTGAAGGTGAAGCGCATCCGTGGTATTTAGAGAGATATTAATCCAGTTTCCCCACACAGTATTTGCTTGGCTGATCAGATTAAGGGATCTAGCCTTCAACAGCACACCCCCACCACAGCAGGCCCCAAGAAATCTGTGATACTTCACAGCCTCAGACATATTGCACCATGTGTACCCAGCTGCTACAATAATTAGCTTATGAATGTATCAGCTGGTTCTGTGATTTTTATAAATAATAACTAACCTACAGAGCAGAAAGATTTTCATGAGCCCGATATTAGCAAGAAATTGCAAGGTGCGCCTAACTCCGAATTGCCATTGTGCTAAACGCCCTCTCTTCTCTGGCGTCGTGCGGGACTGGATCTCCCCCAACACCATTTATAAATATTTATTTTTGCACCGGCGACGGCAACGTATTTGTGGCAGCTTTCTTCACAG